GCATCAGCATCATCAGCATCATGAACACCATAATCGTCATCGTCGTCATCACACCCACCATCACCACAATCACCATCACCACCATCATCACCATGTCTTATCAGTACCACCACCATTCATATTATCATACTCATCATCGTCGTCATCATCATCAGCTTCATCATCATCAGCTTCATCATCATCAGCTCCATCATCATCATCATCATCATCAGCATCATCATCATCATCATCATCATCATCATCATCATAACCATCGTCATCACCATCGTCGTCGCCATGGTCATCGTCATCAGCATCGTAGCTACCATCTCCATTACCAGCATCACGGTCACCATCATCATCATCACTCTGATCATCATCACGATTGTCATCAGCAGCAAGATCATTGCCCTAGTAGTGAGCATCAACATCATCACCATGATCATCACCGTCATCATCATCATAATCATAATCAGCATCATCATCATCATCATCATCATCATCATCATCATCATCATCATCATTATCATCATCATCATTAGCGTCATCATCATCATCATCATCATCATCATCATAATCATCATCGCCATCGCCATCGTCATCAGCGGTACTGCCATCGTCATCGTCATCCTATCAATATGATTGTCATGACCATCATCACCGCCATCATATTCATCACCACCATCACCAGCGTCATGATCAACATCAGCATTCGCATCATCACAGGTAGCACCAGCATCACTGGCACGATCATCATCCTTGTCATTACCATCATCACCATCATCATCGTCGCCATCAGCATCTACACCGCCAGCATCAACAACAACAACACCATCATCATCATTAGCATCAGCATTATTATCATCATCACCAGTCCCATCGGCATCAGCATCAACACTGGTTCCATCATCAATCACATTTCGGCACACCCTTCCACCGCGCCATTGTCGGCTCGTGGCCCCATCAAGGGGCTCCACCGAAGGCCCAGTTGAAGGACTCGCACAGCGCCACCACACCACTTCCGGCACACCCCTCACAGGCCTCGTGGCCCCATAGAGAGCTCCACCGAAGACGATACCCACAACTGCGTCACTCACAACTGCACATGGCATCAGGCGGTCGACGGCCCCTGGGGGGGGGGGGGGGCTCCCCAGTGTCACGCTCGGCGGCCTCCCCATCGAACAACCTTGGGCCTGCGGAGGTCTGGGGCAAAATCCTCCCTCGCGCCGCCGAAGTGCCGTCTATGAAAAAAACGGCCCCTGGGGCCGACGCGCCTGGACCCCGCCCACCCTCTCGCCTCGCGGCGCGAGAGCGCTGCACAGTCGTCGCGCGCTCTCGCGCGAAATTCCGGCACTGGCCGCGGAGCACGACCATACTCAAGGATGGACAGACCTCCCTTTAGTAAAACGTGGTTTAGTGAAAACGACCTGAGGCCCAAACCTGGCTGGCGCAGACCTAGAAAATGACGGCCACGGCGCCCTCTCGAGAACCGAAAACGGACAATTCACGAATCGACGTGTCACTGTTGGGGGCTCTGCCCAGCCCCGACATACCTTCGAGCCACCAGGGCGGCTCCTCGGCCTGCGCCACGAGGGAGCTGCAAGCAAAAAGAGGCCTGCCGGCGACGTGGCGGCTCCTCACGCTGTGCGTGGCACCGGCTATGTGCTGGCCGGCATGGGGGAAGGAACCCTTGGACCAGACACTGGCGGCGGGCTGGCGAGGCGAGGAGTGCGCGTCCCCTGCCCCGGGTCCTCCGCCCCCCGTCTCCTCCCGTCCCGCATCCGTCTCCCAGACCCTCTTCCCTTCCTCCTGTCCCTGCTCCTGTGCGTCCCCCCGACAGACACACAAACAAACTGTTTTGGTCTGCGGGTCGAGAGCGGGCCTCTTCCGGTTAAGAGCTCAGCGGGCTACGCAAAGTTCTAATTGGGGAGACAAAGCACAGGCGGGCGGGGCCTCAGGCGGCCGGAGGGCGGGCCAGGGTGCAGGCGGTGCCGAGGACACACAAACACACACGCACACACCTACACACACATACACACGTACGCACACACCTACCCATCCCCAATCCCCCGCCCGCACTTCTCCAAGGGTTCCTTCCCTCCCCCCTCCTCCCTCCCTTCCCCCGTCCCCTCGCCTGCCTTCATTATCCCACCTTCCTCCTCCCTGCCTGTCCTCCTCCTTCTCCTTCCTTCTGGATATTAGTACTATTCTCATTCTTC